AGGGGAAAGAAGAAAGAGCCTCGCACCCTTTCTAAAGCAAATCAAAAGAGAGGGAAAGAGCTCACGCCCAGGAATATCCACGTGCCAAAGAATACAATGACCAACACTTTTAGCATAACACACAGGCGGAGAATATATTAAATTGACACGTTATTGTCTAATTGCATTTTATTCAGACGTAATATGCATTACTCTGAAGTTAAAACGCAAAATATAAAATATGTAGAATGAAAATGCAGCTCGTCAATTTTAATAAAAACCCATTCCTTGTTATAATCCCCGTTTCAGGATTAGCGCTCAAACGTATAAACTTTTTCATAAATGTACGAAAAATAATTTGTGGAAAGGAACCTCTCTTTTAGCAAATCAATGTTCAGTGTTCCATTGATAAAATATATAAAAGCTCAACACCTTGAGTATGAAAATTTTATTTCTATTAAAAGATTGAGAGGATGTTGGAACCGTTGAAGCGATTAATATGGAGACATGATGTGCTTGATGCCAATTAGTGTAATTTGATCTGAGATCGAATGTCGATGTTAAACAAGATTAATATAAAGATCAAAGTTGTTTACTGTTCAACTCCTTATTACACAAAATGCTTTATCATATCCATCGCATTTTCCTAATTAAAATTATGGCAAATACGAAGTCGATATTAATTATATATGTAAACGACTGATAAATAATTATTAATAATTCGCCTGATAATGGAAATTACAATAATGCTCTCTTAGGTCGACAACTTCAACTATCCGTAACTCTATTATATAATCACAATCATTATCTCGTGCAATCTGATATTTCGAGTACGAACGCGAGGCGTTCGAGCGTCGAGCGAGCGTGCCAGATGTTATCACTCGATCAACAAACTACAAACGTTTTATCTTCATAATAATACTAAAGGGTAATTATTAGGCATTTGGCATCAATACCGATTTCGCTGATCATTTTAGTATGTTATCAGGGATATAATTCTAAAGAAGTTGTTCCTGCATGCCATCTCCTCTTGTTCCCGAGATTCTTTCCAAAAACTGTCAGAACTGAGATTACATTCTCCGAGTAATTCTGCAATTTCGCGAGCAATGAAATTGAAATATGTTTTCACGCTATTCTGAATAACTTGTCCATTATATGTTACCGCCGTCGCTCGGTCATGGCTCCGGAGATATTCGCAAAGAACTGTTGCTAATATTACACTGAATGTTGCGTATATCTATGTATCCGTGACGGCGTATCCATCAGCCGATGGAACATCTGATTGCGAGCTCGGTTTTATTTTCTACCGCGTATAAATTTTGCTACTTTAGGGTATGTTATTTAAAGGCATATCAACTTCGGAGGGACTAACTTTCAAAATACAGAAACATTTCATTCCTAGTACTGTATCTATTCAAACATTAAACGTGCCTTAACTACCCACATACGTGTCGACAGTTCAGTCTCTACCTCGTATCTACACCTATTGCGACTTGCACATGGTCCGTATGTTCTTTTTATTGCGTGGTGGAATGGCATCAAATTTTTGTAATTCGAGGCGAGCCACAATTCACTTTGAACAGGTGTAGATACGAGGTGGCGATGTTCAGAATCACACCTCTGACAACAAATTAAAAAATCAACGAAATCAGTGATAAGACAAACCTCTAAATTATTTATGAACATAAAAATTAATTTATAAATGTCAATTGTAATTCGGTCAGTTCATTCATCTGACCTTTTCGTTTCGAAAAAGGAGAATAAAAATACGATTAACTCTTTACGACTTCCAGGGGACACGGTGAGTCGTTTATGTCCATTGAAATAAATATACTTTATCCCAAATACTAAGAAAGTCAGAAGGAACCTAAAACTAGCATCAGAAAATTCTATTGTTATATTATTTGGCGTGTAAAATTGATCTTATCCGCTTGCTATTCATTCTGATGAATAGACCGAGCTGGGCCCAAGCGCCACTGGATACGAGGGGTTCGGGTCCCCTATTTGTATTCGGAGAAGGGAGCGAAGGTCCCCCTATTCATTGTCAAGTCAAGAGGGGATCTTTTAACCGGATATAAACAACTCGCTTGAAATCTCTAACAGTCAGAGAAACTCGATTCGCACAGACCGATTCTAATAATATATTTATTGTAATAATAAATATATATTTAATTTCATGTAATACAATTGTACTGGAGCCGAAAGAATTTCTCTACGATAGCAGAAATTCCATTTTTCCACACCTCTGATAACGAGTGTATACCGTAATTTAACATCTTCTGAGAATTTTTATTGAATTATATACAAAATAGTTGTAGACCGACGCATCTTTCAATTGGTCATGCATGACGTGATTTATCTTTTTCAATTCAATTCGTTACGAACGATAACGAGATCCCGCCGCGGGTGACCATTGAAGCGTTGGCGCCTTACTTGTAGGCGTCATGCGCAAACGTCCAGTTCCGAGCGCTCCGTCTAACCTACAATGTCGAGTTATTTACGCGTTTGTTTGCAATAATTCTTCAATTCTGATCAATAAAATTAATGCTGGTACTATTCCCTCATGATTCCGCATTATTTAAAGTGGTTTTTCCAAGACACCCGTATACCAAAATTTTCGTCGCCGCCCGCTGGTAACGAGACGCCATGTGTTTCTCAAGTGTTATCTTCTGTTATGACCGTAGCCTAAAGCTTCAGAAAAAGGCCGCGGATGTCAGGGCATTAGTTTATTATTGATTCCTTCTCCCTGGGAGATAATAACACCAAAGGTCAAAGGTCATGAGTAGAAGGGAGAGTCAAGACCCAGCCATGGTACAAGGTTAAGTGACTATGCGGGTGCAAGGTCAAGGGACCATATGGGCATCTGTCCTCCTCCATATTGGGACAAGTTACAGAATGAAAAGTAAAATCTAAATTATATATTTCAGTACCATATTTGTTATTTGAATCATCAATGTAATGCCTGTTATCATTATATAAATGACCAAAGTCATATCAGGAGAAGATCTGAACCCAGTCATGGTACGAGACTAAGCTAAAGTACACTAAGGGTAAGCATCCCTCCACGTAAAACAGATTGCATAGTTTAAAGTTTACAAATGAATGATATGTTCTAACATTTGCCCAAATTAACCATGCAATGTTTAACAAACATTGCTTAGCTTTCAATATTAATCAAATAAAGGCTAATCTAATTATAATCTTCTAATGCAGTCTCTCTGTTAATACGTCCTTGAATTTCTCTAATTAATTAAGGAGCAACAGCGCTGTGCTATGCTAAAACCGTTCCCTAAATTAAGCTTTGTTGCGTTCATCCGCAATGTGCAGTACGTACAAAGCCTTTTGTAATATATTCGCATATAATGAAGTACCGTTCTTTAAGACAGATGAAAATACATGAATAACAATAATAGACATATACGAAATAGTAGAAGGTATAATAATAATAAGATTTCAAAGCAAAAGTCGTCCGTTTTTCATTTAATTGTACTTCATAATGGCCATAAACGGAGCGTTTTGATTCGCATTAATCACTCCTTCTTACATTCAGTATTTCCTAAAATTATTTCTACAAATTATCTAATAAACAAATCTTAATAAATTTTCAATAAGCCTAAAACGTTTGGTCCGTTTCTAGAAGAATTATTCAACCTTTGGACTGCATATTACATTTATTCTTCACTGTATACATCTTGTGTAGTCCTTTATAATATCAGTTTCTCATGTCCGGAACCTTTCTGAGAATCGGGACAAGATACAAAGTCAAGACTGGTTTACTACCGACCTTTGCCGGTCGTGTGTATCGCACAGCTGGTCGGATTCCTTTCATACGCTCCGAATTCCTCATCCGTCAAATACACAACCTGCTGACAGTCAGGTACAATTCACCTGACCGAACACGCGCCAGATGTTTCAAGCCAGTCCCGAATATATTAAGTATATTTAATACGTATGGGGTGTCGGAGAAAGGCAGTGTTGTCAGAGTAAGTATCAACAGCGAGGGGCTGTTTTAAATGGTAGAGAGGGATAGGGAACCCTTATTGGGTAGCTGGAATAGCGTCGGCGTCCAGCGGCGGCGGTCGCATTGGGGACCGCTTACATTATTTTCCTCCACCTGTGTTTCCTTTCCTATTATCACCTAGCATTAGTAGAGAAATTCTCGTAGGATTCGACAACATTTCGAATAAACTGTCGAACGTGCAATTAATTATTTAAGTAGCATTTCTCTAACTCCCTAACTGAAATCAAGTCGAGCGATGTTAAGAACATAATTCGACTTTAAGAAGGGCCCAGCAGTGTGTACGTGACATCCGACGTAAAATTGTTAAGTATTTCTTCTCGATCTGATTAGTGTATAAATGAACAGTTTGGTACAGCGTAGGAAACGTTTAATTTGTCAAGCGACGTGGCCCGTGACCCTTTTTTAACTTGCTTTGCGAAGCGAATGGGATTGTACCGTCGTCGTGGAATGGAAGCATTCGCGCTGGCTTGGAAGCATTGCTTAAAGGTGAACAGGGACATTTGCTTGTGACGAGCTTTTTCGCTAAGAGCATGCTCGCTGTTCTATTATAAGCAGATGCTCTAATCTACCTTGAAGTAAGTAATTACTTATCGACGATTATTCAAATGCATTTTGATTTTATTCTAAATCTATTCCCGATGGTATATACCAAACGGTTATTAGAACTACTACTTCTGTGATCAACATTATTATCATTCTTATCATTCACGCTTTTTGTTACAAGGAAATATTATGCAGCTACTCATTTTAATGTAAGTAAAATAATTCCGGGAACAGCATCCGCTCAGGAGCTACACGCGAAGTTGGAGACTGGGCGACAAGACTGAAGGTACAAATAAAATAAAGAGAAATTCCCGCCCACGTTGGAACACATTCCATAATTGAAAGTTGAATAATGGGAATAACAATTAAATACCGAAGAATTATAGTAAAACAGAAAAAGCACGATATCTAAAGATTTATTAATTAAAAGTTATAATTGAGTTACTGTTGTAATTTAAATAAAAATGTGTACATCAGAACAAACGTATGATTCAATTAAAACTTCATAATCCAGTTCATCTACCAATCTTTATTGAATTCTTTGTTATCACTCTTCACTATTGTCTAAACTAATCTAAACGAAATTCATGCTGTTAATTAAATTAGAGTAGAAGCATTGCCATTTATCATTCAAACAGGCTCAGTCAACGATGGTTGTCCCATTTTGCAATTGATAGATCCTTCGATCAAGATTATAAAACCCTTCTACGAGCATTAAAACAATCATCTGCATTGAAGTCCATAGCATTCTTTCATAATGAGATTCTTAATATATTCATGTATATAGATACAATTGATATAATATACTATTACAAATAATAATAGGCGGTGATCGGCACCGTTGTAACTGCAGATGAGACTCGAGAACATACGTAACAAAAGGCATAGATTTGCTTTTCAAAATCCCCTTTCATGCTCTAAACATTCATGATTCTTTTCCCCTGGTGCACCTTGATGTAGTTACCACACAGACAGACCACCTGTCCATTGAATGTACGACTTAGCCCTAGCCCTATCCTAGCTGCTACCTGAACATGTGCTAAATCTTCCAATACTCATAATTTCATAGTTGTTTAATAAGGTGACGAAAGTGTAAAACATTGCCAGGTAAACCTTTATTACTAGTTTCAAAAGAAAGACGAGTTGTGAATTCTTGGTTCTAAATATATGCGCAAACGCGGCAGCGGCATCTGCGCACCGCCTCCACAAGACCGCAGGACTGCGCAACAACACGCGGTACGCCATGTTGCTATCTGCTAACCTCTATCGTTACCATTCAAAGAGTTCGCGTTCGTTTCCAATTAATATTTCAACAGGAAAATATATTTTGGGGGTGGACCCTCAGGTTCCCGCAGCGTTTGGAGCCGACTCGAAAAACACCCGAACATGAAAATAAGTTTTGTCGCCCGGCGGTCTCGGTTTGCTGTGTTACCAGCCTGTCTCACAAATACGTAGACGTTACACGTAGAGTTCGCATAACATGGCACGAACGCACTAGCACCGTCATTCTGTATTGATTTTGCACGTTTAACATCTGGGAAACACCTCCAATATCACCCAGGAGTACTGGGAGAGGTCTGTTCCCAGCCATGTGTGGTTCAAGGTTAGCAGTCAAGGTCCAATATAATGAAGTCAGGGCCAGAGGTCCATGCCCACCCACGTGGCAGCAGGTTATAAGAGTAGAAGTTAGGAAAGAAATTCTTTCTTCCCAAAGCCATACTGGGAGGAGACTAGTGTAATGTTTCAAAGAACATATTTAGTGCGTATTGCAAGCTGTTACAATTTTGACACAGTGGTATTTTAAATAAAAGTATTTGCATTAATGAGATTGTATGAGTCAATGCTAGTTCTATAGCACAATTTCACTGTCAATTCTTCTTTTCATCCCTTTTGGTAGGGACCAATTTCTTAAGGATAATAAAGGCAACAGCAGAATGTTATTTGCTATGGATGGAGTGTTACCACGTTGGCTAACAGTCTGCAGCACTTGTTTCAGTTAATTTAAAGACATAGATTGTGAATGCAGGTACCATTTTTTAAATATATTGGTGTTAGAGATGTACGAGAAATTGAAAATGTGAGGACGAGTAAAGATTTTCAAAAGTATAACATCTATCTTAATTGCTGGAGTTTTTCCCTAATTCCCGAAAATTTCGAGAATTTAATCATTGTAAGAGATTTAGAAATTTTCGGGTACTGCGGTTTGCTAGTACTCCAGTGAAAAGGAAACTGATGAAACATGCACCTGCTGTTGTTTGACATTCATGATTCCCAACGTGTGTACCTGCTGCGAACCTTTTGAATTCGACTGCTTTTGTACACGTTGATGTAGCTACCCCTCAGACAGACTACCTGCCCATTGAATGTATGACTTAGCTCTAGCCCTATCCTAGCTGCTACCTGAACACGTGCTAAATCTTCCAATACTCATAATTTCTTAGTTGCTTAATGTCCATCTAATGTGCCAAATATTTATTAACAGCAATACTAGTTCCATATCTACATACGAAAAGAATTCCACTTTTTATCCCAAGTGGAGCACCAGTCGTTAGCTTCATTTGATATTAAAATGATATGATTAATTTATTATAAAATCTATGCTTTGCTCAGGTGATGAAGTGTGAAACATTGCCCGGGAAACCTATAGTACCAGCTTCAAAAGGAAGATGAGCTGTGAATGGTTAGTTTCAAATATGTACGCAAACGCGGTAGCGGCACCTGCGCACCGCTTCCACATGACCGCGGGACTGCGCAACAACACGCGGCACGCGGCACGCCATGTAGCTATCTGCTAACCTTTATCGTCACCATTCAAAGAGTTCGCGTTCGTTTCCAATTAATATTTCAACAGGAAAATATATTTTGGGGGTGGACCCTCAGGTTCCCACAGCGTTTGGAGCCGACTCGAAAAACACCCGAACATGAAAATAAGTTTTGTCGCCCGGCGGTCTCGGTTTGCTGTGTTACCAGCCTGTCTCACAAATACGTAGACGTTACACGTAGTGTTCGCGTAACATCACCATCCTGCGACCTATATTGATTTCACATGTTTAACATCTGGGAAGCAGCTTCAATGTCACCCAGAAATATTGGGAGAGGTCTGTACCTAGCCATGGTTCAATGTTAACAGTGAAGGTCCTAAATTTCTGAAAATTTCTTAATTGCCGAAAATATTGGTATTTTAAGACAACAGAACTGTCGAAGATGCTAAATTGTCAAGTATTTGGACACTCTAAATACCTGCACATTTTACATAGTTACAAAAATCATTGGTGCCAGGCAATTTCAGTTTCTCAGGAATATTGCAATTTTCGAGAATTTAATCATTGTAAGAGATCCAGAAATTTTCGGGTACTGCGACTTGCTATTACTCTAGTGAAAAGGAAATTAATGAAACATGCACCTTCTGTTGTTTGTCATTCATGGTTCCCAACGTGTGTACCTGCTGCGAACCTCTTGAATTCGATTGCTTTTGTGCACCTTGATGTGGCTACCCCTCAAATTGAATACCTGCCCACAGAATAAGCCCTAGCTAAACCCATGTCAAGTGTGTGGGTTTATCCTACGTTTTGTCATGCTCAATGTATGAATAAAAGTTATAACTTATGAACTGCTATAGACTAATCGCCCCTAAAATTTTTTTACAACCTTGCGGATTATCCTCCATAACGGCCCCTAATATTTCTTTACAGTTTTGCGGATCTCAGGGATTTTACAGTGACTCGTAAAATCAGTAATGACTTTCTCCGAATATTCTCAGTCAATCAATTTTCGGGTATTTGTTTCACCTTGTACCTATGTTTTTTTAATAAGGAGAGACAAAAACAAAGAATAATACATTGACGTTTGACGATGCATATCGGATACGTAGATATTGTTCTTGTTAGATGTGAATCACGAATACAATTTCCACTTATCTTAATTTAATTAATTTGTAACTAGAGAGTTTCACTAGACATTAGAATAAAAGCAGTTTGTTGAATATCTTTAGTTGAATAGATTTTGAAAATCAATAGAATTCTAAAATTACCAAGAGGGTTCAAAGATATTCTATCGCTATGCCTTCTCTGACAACAGTATGTCCAATCGAGATAATTGATTAAGAATTACAAGTTCATTGTGCGAAGACGAGGAGTGAGATTCGTGAGTTTTTGTATTGGTAGATATTTTGTTATTAGTTAAGCGAAGACTGTCGTTTCTCCTTGGCAAGGTGATGAAGTCGGGTTTTCGACAGATGTCAGTTCTCCCCGGCCAGAATTTATAATTCGAATTTCGAACCAGCGTAGAGTCGCGTCTGCTATAAACTATAAATCACTATGCAAATTGATGATTTTAGCTCGGATCAATTGACGAAGTCTTATACTAGAAATCATTTAGAACATCATGGAGTTTATTAATTATTAGCACTTGAACATTTGGTCTTTTACCATTTCCAAGTCTGAAATTCTGTCCGCATCTCCCGGCAGCAAGCGTCTCTCGAATTTTCTTCAGTTTTATGGTTGTCTTTAAAAATCAATAAAGTCGTTTGTGTAACGTGGCTTGTCAATCGTTTAAATGTTATAAAAATACGTGAAGAGCTTAAGAATTCTTCAGTAATCAAAACATTTTATGCGCACAACGCGGTACGCGTTTTTCATCAAAATTCAGAGTGTGTGGAGTAGACCCGATTAGAGTTAAGAATACCGTTATCTTAGGGGCCGGATGCGAGCGCCGTGAGATAACGTTGTCAGTTCTCTTGAAGCACCGTAAGGAACAAGTGACGTCACAAGATTGTTCTACGAAAGTGCCGAAATTTACGGATTCTCAAGTGTAATCGAGGTACGAAATGCGTTCAAATTACTAAAATACGTATATCCCACATTTGTATTCTAATCTCAAATTAAAATATTTTTGTGGAAAATATTCGTAACCTTCCTTTGTAAAGGTGAGCAGAATCAATTAAGTTCAATAAAAAAATCTACCTGCGTCGGAATTGTAATTTTCTGACATGAGAAAAATGTATATAAATCTAAAATTGTTTTAATATTTCAATTTCATTATGAAGTAAAAGGTTGAATGGACGGCTTGAATTTTTTCAATTATTCCCTGTCACTTTAATATGCACAGAAAACACATTGGACATAAATAAGCCCACCTTTACACAATTAGGATTCTGACAGAAAAACGTTTTACACCGTAAGGATCGTTTACATTCTGTTCAAAATAAAATATCAACAAGTTGACGCCTAGAAGTGGTACAAACCAGTGCTTGAGCAAATATGGCTGCCCATCGATGGGCGTGTACCACTGGTGGTATTGCCATTGGAAACACGTAGCTATTCATTATTATTTCTCTCTTTCTGGAAATAAAAATTCTAAAAGCGACCGAGATCTAACCAATACCACCAAGAACACTATTATATGTATTCTACATATAATATATATAATATCAATTTACATAGTTAGTCGTATTAATGACAACGAACGAGAGTAGCCATGTAATATCAGGTAATTGAATGTAGATCGGATCAGCATTTAATAAAACATTAATTTGATAAATGAAACTGGGACCGAGTTCGAAATCCGGATTGAAATCAATCGATTTGTCGGTAGACTAATAATATATTTAAAATAATGGCGCAGTCGTAAACCTGTTGAACGAAGAGTACAATAATTAAAAATCATTACAAATGCGCGCGTTCCCCATATTATTTCGTAAATAAAATAAAAGACAAGGTTGTAGAGTCTGTATGAAAATTCTTATAGAACACAATCGTCGATCGTGTAGAACTCATAATAAAGGGTCGGAACGGACGACACCCGTTCACGCGGAGCGGATAGGAACGGAATGCTTTGAAGCAGATAGTTGTAGCTTCGTATCAAGTTTTGGTATGCATCAATAAAACGTTCAGTCGAAATTGCACAAGTGGAAATGAAGTATATTCACTACGCATTCGTACGCGTTCTGTGCCGTGCGCAACGATTTCTGCAATCGTCCGCCATTACGTCTTTAAGACGTGCGACATCACAATATCGTTATACAAGTGTAACAGCGTCATAGTTCATTGTGCGAGCGAAGGGAACTGCACAAGTGGAAGGTGCATAAGTTGAATTTGTGAATACGCGCGATCGTTGCGAGTTCAACTAGAAGTGATTAAACTCATTAATCCTGTTTGCCGGGTGAATAGACTCTGGGTCAGCCCTGACAGCTTCCTCTTTAAAATATTTTCTCTCTCTCTCTCTCAATCTCTCTCTCTCTCCTTCATTCGCGAATATAAATATATATTTTGAAGAAATTGTAAATGCGACGTTAAAAAGAAGTTTAATGATGGACGAGCTTTTCTCGGAAATTCTTTGGCAAATATTCACAGATCCCCGACCTGATTAAGTGGCCCTTTAATAAATTAAAGTTCGCGAGAACCAAGAACTAGATCGTCGATTGCATGGCTCAAAGACGATGTTACATCGACGGTTATTTATAATCTCCACATCTGAAATGTCGCTATTTCATTTACGAGTTCTGCTCGTTACAGTAATTTCGTAAAGCATCGTAGCGAACAATAATCGTTGCGTCCGGGTGTGACCTACTTTCGGTTCAAAGATCTAATAGTACATGGGTTCATTGTGTCTCTTAGCAACTCTTCGGAATACTGTCGCGAGCATCTCAGTAATACATTTCTATCGACTTAGAGAATTTCAAATATATAAAATAAATTATTAAACATTCTTCGAATAGTATAAAAGATTAAACAATTATT